CTACTAGGGGTTCCTGGCATCGCTACTAGGAACAAGAAGCTAAGGGGCTCCTGGCATCGCCACTACGAACAAGAAGCTACTAGGGGCTCCTGGCATCGCTACTAGGAACAACAGTATGATGCTTCCATTGTGCCCGGTGTGGAATGGAAAGGCCGGAGATGCTGGGCTTGATGCGGGCGCGCACCTTTCACTGGCATGCGCATCTCACTTGTGCTGTCCTGCCGAAAGGGCTGTGCCAAAATCAGTAATAAGGAGCGCGCCTTGCTCGAAAAGCTGGGCTTCCCTTGAAGGACAGCGCGTGGCTGCAGGGCCAGTAGAACTTCCTCAACCATCACATCTCCACGACCTCCATGCTCCTCTGGCATTCGAGGCCGGCACGTGGGACCGAAGGCTGATCCTGGCAAGGGCCCCTGGCATCGCTACTAGGAACAGGTTCGAAGCTACTAGGGGCTCCTGGCATCGCTACTAGGAACAAGAAGCTACTAGGGGCTCCTGGCATTGCTACTAGGAACAAGAAGCTACTAGGGGCTCCTGGCATAGCTACTACTAGGAACAAGAAGCTACTAGGAGCTCCTGGCATCGCTACTAGGAACAAGAAGCTACTACAGCCATGGGGCCCCCTAGTTGGAGAACTTGTAAAGTGCCCTAACATATGTTAAAACATGGATTAACTGATGGTGTAAGCTGGTCTAAGTTTGTGAAGTGTTCTAAGTTCTTGGTGGTATTTACGTTGCAGTTACAAATTACTTTGGAAATATATGAGTAAGTTATCCTAGTTTATGTTGGAGGGTGCTAAATCACTTCCAACTTACTTAGGGAACTTAGGTTTTTGAGTTGAAAAAGCTATGTTTTTTGTGGACGGGTTTGCAGAGAAGCGTTTTTTCATGTGTTTGTGTAGTCTTCTGTTTTGCGTAGAACTGAGACTGATTAGCAAATCTTTGTATTTTGTGTTGTTTTGGAAACATTTTTTCTGTTTTTATGGGCGCGATTGTTTTTTCTGTTTCAGTCGTGAATAATTTGTGGGGTGGTGGTCCACCCGTACGACAGAGTAGTACTTTGCACACAGAAACACGTAAACATGCAACATGCACACGTAGTAGAATATAGTGTAACGAATCCATTATGTAGGCCCTGGAACAACTAGAAGCCATTAAGCTGGATCACGCCCCAAGTTTATCTCTGAGTGGCCATGGAACAACTAGAAGCCATGGTTCGCAAGGTGGCGGCAGAGTAAAGCCTTACAGCTTCGCAACAGGAGAACAGATTCGCTGGTGTTGACGAGCGCTGAGTAGATTCTCGCCTGTCCGTGACGCATCACAAGACGCGCACACACACAGTCCCTCAAAAGATCTGATGTAACCTCACGAACAAGAGGCTATATGTACAGTAGATGTACGGTAATGTACGGTAGATGTACGGTAGATCCACCGTACATCTACCGTACATCTACCGTACATTTACCGTACATTACCGTACATCTACTGTACATATAGCCTCTTGTTCATCAGGGCGCACCGCATTTTTGGAAGCCTGCGCGGGTTGGACGCACCTGTTCCCAAAACACGACTTCTTGCGTGCAGCGGCATCAAGAAAGCCGTGTGCGTTCTTCACATGGCTTGGTGGAGACAACCTACGTGGTGGACTCTTCAAGAGGGTGGTCGACTGCTATGCTTGCCCTAAAAACAGAAACGCTTCTTTTTTCATGTTCGTCGCGGTGGTCCGCAAGACAGTTGCTTCTTTATTTTGTTTTTCTGGTGTTGGTCTTTGTGGTTGCACAGCGTGTTCCTAACACACAGATGTAGGTCATTGCTTTGGCGTTCTGTTTTCTTATGCGTTTTGATGGTTTAAAGTAGAAAGTGTTTTTCTTTTAGCGCGGTGGTGGTCCGCCGAAAAAAAAGCAAAACGCATTTTGTGTTTTGTTTTTGGCTTTTTGTTTTTCCTCGGCAAAGCGGCGCGGTGAGTGTTCTACATCAAAAAACCTGGCAACAGCAGCGCTTTCCCAGGTAAAAAACTTAGTTTTTCGATGTCCTTCGATTTGGGCCTTGCTACTGGGAAACTTGAAAAATCATATTTTTTGAGCATCAAAAATCACCAATTAGAACTTACAGAACTTAAAAACAGTTACATGTAAGTTACATCTTACTTACGAAGCCCTCCAGCTAACTTAGTTTTAAGTAGTTTGTAACTTCACCAAGTAAGATACAAGTGTTTTAACTAGGGGGGCCTGTGGCTGTACGGGCTCCTGGCATCGCTACGAGGAACAAGAAGCTACTGGGGGCTCCTGGCATCGCTACTAGGAACAAGAAGCTACGGAGAGGGCCGGCACTTCATGGGCTTGAAGGGGGCCTCGATGAGTACGCGCTCCTGACGTGCTCTTACTAAAGAACGCGCGCTTGTCGTCGTCGCTCATCTGGGGCAGGCTGCCCAAGTTGCGACGAACCAGCCTGTCCGTGGACTTGCAGTCCGCGCGCAGAAAACGCCGCCCATGTCCGCGACCAGCAACGTCTCGACCAGCAACGTCTGAGCGCTGGCACATGTTGCAAGTCGTGTGCATGGGGGTCGAATTTGCGTCCTGTGTCTCCTGCGTGGACGCGACCGCGAGCGTCCTCTACAAAAACCCCTCGGAGCCGAGAGAGCTGCGAAAAAGAATCTCCGAAACCAAGAAAAACTCGCAGAATGCCGCGGACATCGACCAATACTTAACTAGCTTGACGGCCAATTCTCGCGGACGTCTGGCGGACATCTGGCGGACATCGGTGGAATCCACAAAAACAACTCTTCACTCACAAGCCAAAACCAGGAAAACCGCAGACAGTTTCCTGACCAACTCTTCACCCACAGGCCAACATCAGGAAACCCGCGGTTTCCTGACCAGCTCTGGCTAACATCAAAACCCGCAGTTTCCCACCGAACCCAATTGAACGCAGTCCCAAATCAGGAAACCCGCAGTTTCCCACCCAATGCTCTTGACCCACAGGCCAACCTCAAAAAACCCGCAGTTTCCTGAACAGCTTTTCAAAGCCAAAATCAGGCAACCCGCAGTTTCGTGTCAAATGCTCTTGACCCACAGTCCGCCCTCAGGAAACCCGCAGCAACCTCAGGAAACCACGGCTTCCCCTGACCCAGAGGTCGGGATCAAGAAACCGGAGGCTAACAGGAGTCCGGCAGCCGCAGGTACCAGCGCGTACCCGTAGGTTCCGCGGTCTCCAATTGTTGCGGGAGAAACGAAGGAAATGCTTCGTATATCCCTGCTGGGCCCGACGGGTCTTCGTGCCCGCAGACATGGCGTCAGCATTTGCAGACATGCTATACGTGGGCTATATAGCTTGCTTGGAGACTCCCTGTGACGAACGTTCTGAGCCAAAATCTCACTGCAGCATGTGTCATTTGCAAAAACATGCTAATTATGTAAACAATCATTGTTTTTACAGGTTTCCTAACTACCGCCTAAGTACATCTAACTTCCGCGTAACTTTGGCGAAGCAGGTGCGCGGAAGTTGCATACCAGTTATACGCACAGCACGGAAGTTGCAGAAAATATACCTTAACAACTATCTTCCGCAACATAAGAGATAACTTAAGTTCAACTTCACACCTAACTTATAACGGCCCTCTCCGTACTAGGGGCTCCTGGCATCGCTACTAGGAACAAGAAGCTACTAGGG